TGAGAGGAGTGGCCGGACAAACCTCGCGCGAGCAAAGTGCGGGCCTCCGACACGGAATGGAACCAAATTGTGGCAGCAGCCTTCGAGAGGGGGATGATGGGCGCCATATCGATTTTCATCCCCATCAACGAGCACTTGAAGAAGATAAGAGGTGCAGAGGCGACCTTGCCCTACCATGGCCAGGTGGGAATGCTGCTCATCCCGGATGAGGGAGAAGTGCTGATTGACAGCGAGGACCTGGAAAGCTGTTTCAACTTGTTCGTGACGCCACCCAGCTGGACAGGCTGGTTCGTCTATGAAAAACAAGTGCCAGGTCACATTGTGGGTTTTGGCAACTCGCAGCCAACGTACGTGGGCCTACGGACAGTCCCAAATGGGATGGATCTCGGCAGTTGGGGTTGTGCAAGAGGCAGTGCGGTGTATTGCCTTCACCGTTGCCGGCATCGACCAAAGCAAAGAAATCCAGAAGTTGAAGAAACTGCCTGAAGGCGACAGGGTCCTCCTGTACCTGGATAGCCTGGATGAGCTTCGGGTGGTGCAAGGTACGGAGTCGGAAGACCACAAAAGGTTTGAATCGGCTTGTGAGTCGTTAGGGCTTCCCCGCAGCCGCTCGAAAAGGCTGGTGGGAGCTTTGACTGGCACGATTCAGGGAGGAGAGCTCCGCTCCCGAGATGGTGTCTTCCAAGTGGCCCGGGATAAGATGCATGTGGGCATCCAGATGAGGTTGGCCCTTCTGGTGAGCAAGAGGTGGCCGTACCGTGCTCTGGCTTCCTGGGCTGGGCGGGCTACGTTTGCTGCAGCCTTTCGGCGCCCTCTCTTTGCAGTGCTCGGGCAGGTGTTCATTGCCTTGCCAAACCTGCGGTCGGGCAGAGTGGTCAACAATGCGGTGTTTGACGAGGTCCTGTGCTTCACGGCAATGATGCCGCTGGCTTACAGCAACATCAAGGCACCGCTGAGTGGCCAAGTCGGCTGCACTGATGCAAGTCCAACAGGAGGCGGCGCATGTGTGCTTCAAGGACCCATCAGGTGCACGGGGGAGATTGCTGGGGAGGACAGCATCCCTGCTTGCCCGCGGAAGTGCGGGGCGCAGTTCTGCTGCCTAGGATGCGCGTTGTCGCACGAGGCTGCCTGCCCGCACATCAAGTGGCGGATCCCGACCTTTTGGGAGGCCTACAGCGGCCCCAACATGCCCCTGACTCAAGCCATGATGAGGGAAGGCTTTGCAGGGCAGGAGCCCTTTGATGTGATGTGGGATCGTCGGCGTGACATTTCTACTGACAACGGGAAGCTGAAGTGGGACGAGTGCACAGCTGAAGGAGCAAATGACTTTGAACATCACTCTCCCGACTACCAGCCGCGCACGTGTGCGGGTTTTCCGGGCTGAAGCCGCAAGAGGCCCGCATGGTGCGTCAAGGAAACTCCATGGCCGTGAAGATGCCGTGGAAGGGCAGCTCAAGGCAAAATGTTTAGCATCGAACACCCATACAGCTCATGGATGTGGGAGTTGGACGAGGCCATCAAGCTTGAGAACTTAGAGGGTGTCTACGCTCCAGTGTTCTCTACTTGCTGCTTCGGGGGGCGGCAAAAACGGTGGACCAAGGTGCTCACCAACTGCCATACCCTGTTTGAGGCGTTGCGCCAGCCTGAGTGCAGCCATGTCAAGGAGGATGTGGACTGGGCAGCGTTCTACATGGAGCAATGGTAATTCCTGGTGAGGCTGAGACAGAGTATTTGCGGGGCTTCTGCATGGCTTTGCGGCCGGAGCCAAACAAGAATTCAAGGAGTGGTTTGGCTTGCTCACTCCAACGGCGGTGCGGCACGAGTGGGTGGCGGGCCAGTTGGCTCGTTACCCCCGATTCCAGGATGGGGCTTTGCTTCAATCGGTGGCCGCACGTGTGGCCATCTTGGAGCAATCCATGATGCCAGGCATGGAAATCTCATATCCAGGACATGTTCCTGATGGCCAATCACCGGGGCACAGCTGTCCGGATGCGGCAGGTGGATGGGGAGGAAGAAGAGATTGTGCTTTTTGAGGCGCCTTACCCAGCTTACCGATGGCACTGGACGGAAATCTTGGCCTACGCGTGGAAAAGCGAGGATCACATCACCCGCTTGGAAGCGCAGTCGGCGCTCGTGTTCTTGCGAAGGATGAGCAAAGACCCGCAGATGAGGGGGACACGGTTCCTCCTTATCATGGACAGCCAGGCGGCGCCTTAGCCAAGGGGCGCATCAGTAGCACACGTATGAACCGCATTTTGCGGCGAGCAGCAGCAGTGAGCGTGGCGGGAGACATGTATTTTTTGGTGGTCTGGTGTGTGTCCGATTGGAACTTTTCGGACCGCGCCAGCCGGAGATTTGAAAGGAAAGCAAGGTGATGAGTGCAAAGCACCTTCGACTTGCGGGTTTACATCCGCGCACGCTCGCTGCCTACAAGAGAAGTTTGCAGCTGTTCTTTCGCCATTTGGAGGATGAAGAAGCGCACCTCCCTAATTCCCCAGAGCTCTTGGACGAAGTCCTTGCTGAATACTTTAACCATTCCTGGCTGGAAGGCGGGTCTGTTGCCTACGCTGGCCATTTGCTGTCTGCCCTCAGACGGCTCCAGCCTGAATTGAGATGGAAGTTGCCAATCTCAAAGCAGTACTTTTCCAATTGGAAAGCCACTTGCCCCCCCACTCGGGCCGTCATGATGCCTTTCCTTGTTGCCTAGGGGCTTGCCGGACTTGCCGTCCTTTGTGGTTGCACGCTGGAAAACCGGCGCGCCAACCTCAACGCATATATATATATATATATGTATATAGGTATCTGCTCATATTATATGTGCATATACATATGGAGATGGTTATATGCATGATTTATTACGAACTTGTACAAATTGAAAGGGTCTTCTTTGTTTGTGGCTTGCTTTGAGGAGCAAGTTCAATAATCCAATTGGTGTTTCTGGCTATGGGCACCCCTCTTGCGACAGCAATCCTTTGTTTTTCTTCTCTCTTTTTTCTCCCGTTGGCTGTTGAATAAGACCCTCCCCCGAAGAAACCCACCCAGACTAAGCGGGGAATCCGGCTTGAATCACAAAATGACAGCGAAGCATCAACGCGGGCCCACGTTTTTGACAGCTGCCTTGGCTTCTGAAAAGGGATTCCAAACAAGTTTCAATTTTGTTTCCAGGGGAATTGGTAGAGACAGTTAGGCCGTGTTAGGCCTAACAGTTAGGTAAAAGTAAAGCGTTTTCTGATCAATGCGGTGAGACAACCTCAAACACCTGGTTGCTTTGCCAAGTGGCATTGTCATTAGGCGTTGAGTGGGGATCTGAGGCAACCATCAGGATTCCTGGAAGGATTCTGTCGTGCTCTGAAAGGCAGACTCTGGAGCTTGATGCTTCAAACTGCAAACGCAAATGGGCGTTCCAAGGCTCCGCACCGCTTCACCCAAAGGGGGAATTAGATACAGGTGAATCAGTGGCTCATGTCCTTCTTTGGAAGGTGCCCGTCCAGGGGTGGTTGGGGACCCGCCTTGTGTTCCCGTGCCTTTGCACCTCGCACGGGCGAAATGGCGAAGTTGAGGTTGAAGCCGACACACGTAGCCGCAGCCGACTGCTGCGGCGGCTGCTGGTGAAGCTGCATCCGGACCAGAACCGTGGCAGGGAGCGGGCAAGGGGCTCGGCAGACAGACGGAGGGTGCTCTAAAGATCGCATGATGCTGCAGCCGGAAGGAAACCAAGGATTTTGCAGGGTCCAACTCCCATCTTTCCAACATCCAGACGGCAGTTTGAGCGTGGCTGCCAGTTTTCATTGAATGCCTGGAACGCAGGTCACCGCGCCAGTTTTCGAGTATGTGCAAGCGCTGCGGGCGAGTGACGAGTGAGTGAGACCGTACACAATTTTCAAACTGTTTTCCGACAGAGCCATTTGGGCGATTTGGGATCCATGTGAGCAGGGGGCAGTTCGCTCATCTATGGCAAAGGCGGCATGGTCACTAAAATTCCATGTGAGTTGAGGGCGCAAGGAATCATGGCTCAGTTCTGTTGATTTTCGCGTTAGCATGGCTTCGGGCAGGAGGGCCACAGCTGAAACACTGGTTGGCTTGCAGTGCAAAGCACTGCAAGTCAGGCTCCGCCAAAAGCAGCAGTTGTGCGACTGAATGCTTGTCAAGGGTGCAAGGACTCTTTGGCGTACTCAGGGGTGCCCTGAAGGTTTGCTCATTGCATCCCCCAAACGGGGCTTCAGGAGTGCATGGCGTGGCTGGTTGCTTTTGCTTAGCCTGCTTGCAGGCTATCGGACCAGCAGCATCCTGGCAATTCCCATTCTGAGAGCGGATGACAGCAACAGAGCTGTTGGCGTCATCCAAGTTGCCAACAAGGCGCTCCAATGTTTGCAACTACCCCGTTGCCCATTCAATTGTCTTCTTGTCAGGTGTCTTACGATGGTCAGCTGGAGTATTTTGACGAAGATGACGTTGACATCATGAAGATGTTTGCATCCTTTGTCGGTCCAAAGCTGAAGCCCGGCCGCAAACATTTTGGGACATGCCAAGCCTTTGATGTCCCACGTGCTGGTTGTGGTGACATCCGTTTCTGCGTTTCTGCGTTTCTGCCTGGCTCCTGTTCAGCCTCAGGACGTCCTCCATGCATTCAGCTTGCTCCTTAGTCTTCCGTCCGATGCACAACGTCTGGGAGAGCGGCCTTTGAGATCCCCTGAAGGGCGCACTGATCGCATAGGTCCCTTGATCCTCTCGTTTGGGGTTTGCTCTGGCTGCGCCAAGAGGCGTTCTTATGAAACAAGAAAGCGATGCCCAGGCCCAACACACGGGAGAGATGCGGCGCATCCTAGAGGTGCCGTGAGGCTCGGAGGGGCGAGGCGACTGGGCAAAGCGCCCGGGTTCCTGGATGGCCAATTGAGCCGCCAGGCTCAAGAGGCGCTCAGGAAAAAGGCGCCGCGCGAGATGCTGGGAGGGCCATGAGAAGTGATTGGAATGCTCGAGCTTGGTGATTCAGTTGCCGGAAGGAGAATTTCGTGCGCTTCTACGCCGCTGGGGTGGTCATGGCTTTTGACCACTTGCATGGCCGCCTGGCCGACCAGTGTCGAGGAGAAGCCGAGTTAGGTCCAGAGGCCTTCTCTAGCTTGCTCAGGAAAGAAGATCTTGTACCGTGACCTGAAGCCGGAGAGAGTTCTGGGTTCAGTCTTGAAATGCCGTGGATTCGGGTTTCGCGCTTTGTTCTTCGCCTCACGTTCCCAGTTCCGGAAATTTGGTTGGCAAGACAAGTTTTGGTGCTGACAACAAGTTGAGACTTGTTTTTGAAAAATCCGGTCAATAAGTGAGGATTACTCGCCAGAGGCCTCCGAAGTTGGCTCGGATTTGGCGCTCATGGCACCGCCATGGCCTTGGCTGGGCTCGGCGAGGAGCTGACGTACAAGATCCGCACAGCGCGCCCCAAGCGTAGGGAGCCTGCGGCCCATGCGACCTCCGCCCAGGTGGCCATCAGCGCGTCGGAGGTGGCAGACCAACAGCTCATCGCGCGCCTGGCCAGCTTGGGCCCTTTGACCCACGCAGCCAAGGACGGGTATTGGACCCCTTGGACCCCTTGGTTCGGCATACGTGTCCAGCTTGCCCTGTTTGCACATCCCCGTTCCAGTGGTGCAGGTGGCCTGCAAGAGCCTGCAGCATCTCGGGGAAGGCCTCCGCCGCAGCAACCGCAGCATCCGATCGGACGGGGTCTTTCTGCAGCAGCTGCAGGCCGGGTTTGGGAAGGGCCTAAGACGGCACCCGTTTGATGCCTGTTGAACGTTTGTTTTGAAAAGGGGGCGACAATAATTGCCAATTTTTCAACTTGTTTTTTTTCGCGCTTTCTTGTCTGTACACTTCCAAGGGCCAATTTTGCTTGAGGAGAAGGAGCCCCCCATGGCCGCCGGCAGCGTGCCCTTCCTGGACGCCTTGGACAGTTTGGGGGAGCTCTTCTGCAATTTGTCCAGGCAGCTGGACGGAAAGCTGTTGACACCCATGGAGGCCCTGCAGAACAACCTGAAAGAGGCGGACGCGGGTGGGTGCGTTTGTGAGTGCGGGGGCTTGCAATCAAGGGTGGTCATTTGTTCGCTTCTCCCACCCACATCTAGACTAGGGAACAGGAAGTCCAAACGTGGGGAAAGAACAAAGCAGGCAATTGGATCCCTCTCCCTGCTGTCAGAGCAAGCTTTTGGGATTAATCCGTTCCTTTCAATCCCTGAAATGTACTTGAGACTAACTTAAGGTGAAATCCTTTTGACGTGACGGAACAGACTCTCTCTCTCTCTCTCTCTCTCTTCTCTCTCTCTCTCTCTCTCTCTCTCTCTCTCTCTCTCTCTCTCTCTCTCTCTCTCTCTCTCTCTCTTCTCCGGCGAATCATCTCTCATCTCTTAGTCGGACTTCTGCGGGTTTTTGCTTGGCAAATGGATTTGTTTCGGAGGCCTGCATGGAGGAACGGCTGGAGCTCAAGGAGATGGAGCAGCGGGAGGCGTTGTGCTCCCGCGCTGTGGGCAAAATCCTGCAGCGCAAGGAGCGGGCTACTGCGGAGCTGCAGGCGGGGCGTGACCCAAAGCTTCAAGCTGCTCGGCCCCACGGGCTGTTGGTTGCAAATAGCTGGGAAACAGGACTCCTTTAGATGGATGCATGTGGATGCTTCAGGAAGCATGTTTGAACTGCTGTGGTTGGCAGAACGCTAGCAGCACATCTAGCGGACTTGGTCGGGGGGAGGTTCTGTCCCCATTTCATCTTGTGGGGGCGACTGGATACGTGGAACTGGGGGACTCTCAAGACAGCAACCCGCTCTTCCGGCCAGGCAGTCACCAAGCAAGAGACTCGGAGGAGCAGGCCAACCAGTTGCATCGACACAAAGAACCTCCCCAAACGGGTTTGCTCAAGTCTTTTTCGGTGGCCCCCCGTCCCTCGCGAGGAGCTGGTTCTTCCAGCCCTCGGCCGCGCGGCTGGAGGAGTTGGCGGCTCAGCAGACCGCCGTGGTGGAGGACTTGGCCGGGAAGATGGACCAGGAGGCCGCCTTGAAGTGCAACAAAGAGACTCTCGAACACCCAGCGCAGCCTTCAGGGCACCCCATTTGTGGAGCCCAAGGTGTTGTCTATACTTTCTTCAAGCCTCTGGAGTTTACTTTTTCCACTTTGGCTTGAAGCTCTGGGGTTTCTAGGATTGTTTGCATTGTGATTCAGGTCTGCCATTGGACTTGGGCTGACCAGGCAAGGTTGTTGTTTTTTCCCGGCCGAGGAAGTCTTTGCAGAGTTTCCGGGCCGCTCTGCGGGAGCTGGACACTTCTTGCATGACGCACTTGCAGCAGCTGGCTCAGGATTTCAGCAGAACGTGGGCGCAGGCTGGGCTGCAGATGGGAGAAATCGCGCAGTCCGTGGCCCAGCCGGACGTGAGCCCAGAAAGCTGTGTCAAACCATACTTGCCGCCGAAAACACGGCCAGAGCCTGAGCGCATGGCTGCTTCTTGGTGGCTTTTGGTTTGAGACTTTCTCTTTCAACGTTTTGGAGAGTGACTGTTCCCCACAATGGCTCGAACAAGTTGTTACTTTCGCCGGGCTCAGCTCGACCAACCCAGGATTCAGACTGCTCCCCAGACGCCAAGCTGACACCGATCTCGCTCCCGGCTGGAGGCCGGACTGAACAGGAGAGACCGCCCAGCCAGGAGAGAGCAGGATCTGGCACCGCTCGCTCCAGTCACACTCGTGAATCAAGCGATGGAAGTGCTGAGAGCGCCCAGATCTACATATCTGTCCCTGAAACTCTCGTGCCACTTGCGGCTTCACAGGATGGCAGTCCGAGCGCAGAGCCAAAGGAGCCGAAGGAGCCGAAGGAGCCAAAGGAGCTGAAGGAAGCGGCAGTCACCCTAAGCTTTGGGGAGGACGTGCGCAAGTTGGGCTTTGAAGTGTTGTGGGAGACTGCCCGGCCATCAGTCGGCAGTGTCACAGCAGGCGGCGAGGCTGAGCGCCTGGGCCTTTGCAGAAGCTTGGCAGCACTTGGCATTCCTTCGCCGCATTCGTCTCTTCCCGATATGCCTCTGGGAGAAGCTTCCATGTTTCAATTTCAAACTGGCCTCGGCTTGCCGATTCCAGCATGGCCGACTGGCAGGCGGTGCGGTGCTGACAGAGATCAACGGCACCAGCACGCTGGGCCGCGCCCGGGATGAGCTCATGCCGCTGCTGAAGCTGCGGCCCCTCCAGCTGCGGGTGCTGCCCTGAACACGGCGCATGCAGACGCGGTGCTTCCAGTGTGCTTTTGGTGGAGAGGCCCTGGAACCGCAGGGCCCAATTCAAAGCCCGCCGAACTCGGTGGTTTGGCCGCGCGTTGGCTGCAGGAAGGCTCTCTGCCATGCACCCCCGCAAAAAGCAGACTGCTTGGCTTTGCGAGGTCTTGCAATGCCGGCTTGTAGGCCAAGGCTTCGTTTGCCGTATGAGGAGAACCTGTTGCTCAATGAAAAGGGTAACATCAAGCTGGCGGACATGGGCCTGGCCAAGGATCGCGCGGGAGGGCACAGAGCTGGTCAACTCCACCAAGTGGAAACATACTGTTGATATGTGACAGCCACAGCTATCATTTTGGTCCACGAGGTTCATTTTTGTTTGAGTCTATTGCGTGAGTCTTTTGCAAGGAGCGGCCGCACTATTTTGGAAATGGATCCAGCTTTGCCCACATGGATTTGCTTTTCGCCCGCTTTTGCTAAAATGGGGCAGCAATATGTTCAGATGGATCCTTGTGAAGTCGGCCCGGTTCTGAGGGGGATCCCTTCAAATCCTGGAAGACGAACCGAAATTGGACCGTTTTGGCAGTTCGAAGGGGCGGTGCTGTGCAAGTGCTGCTTGGCCAGCTGTGCCCCAACTTTGCGAAGCCTGCAAACTGTGTGGGTTTGAGACAGTGCGCAGACTTGAGCAGCATTGTTTCAGAGTAAGAGCTGGTAAAGAGCTGATGGCAAACCAGCTGAGCACTCCATCTCTGCGAAGCATCGCGTGTGTCAGTGTCCCGCGAAATAGCCCCAGCTTGCTGTGACTGCGAGCCCAAACTGTGTCCACCTTGGCCCGCAGATTTGCATTGGCAAAACCTACACGGCCTGCGGAACTCCGGACTACTTTGCGCCGGAGCTGATTGCCTCCACAGGTGGGGTCGGACCTTTGCCCAACTTCACACGGCCCCCCAATACCAGCATCCCGCCCAATTAAACTTTAGAGCCTCTGGCTCACTCCGCCGACATTGTCCTCTCCCTTTCCTCCTTCTTCATCTCTCCCTTGTCTCCCTTGTGTGTTCTGTTGTCCTCTCTCCCTCCCTCCGCTCCCGATCCTCCCCATCCCCCCAAGCCTCTCTCTCCTCAATCTCCCTCTCTCTGTCTCTCTCTACCTGTCTCTCTCTCTTTCTCTCTCTCTCTCTCTCTCTCTCTCTCTCTGTTTCTCTGTCTCTTTCTGTCTCCCTGTCTCCTTCCTGTCCACACCCCTCTACAGAAAAAAGGTACCCTCGTTCTGTCCTCTCTACTGGAGGACCTAGTCTCTCTCTCTCTCTCTCTCTATCTCTCTCTCTCTCTGTCTTTCTCGCTCTTTCTCTCTGTCTCTCTCTCTCTCTCTCTCTCTCTCTGTCTTTCTGTGTCTCTCTTTCTCTCTCTCTCTCTCTACCTCTCTCTTTCTCTTTCTCTGTCTCTTTCTCTGACTCTGGCTCTGTCTCTGTCTCTCTCTCTCTCTCTCTCTCTTTCTCGCTCTCTCCCTCTCTCTCTCTCTCTTTCTCGCTCTTTCTCTCTGTCTCTCTCTCTTTCTCTCTCCCTCTCTCTCTCTCTTTCTCTGTGTCTCTCTGTCTCTCTCTCTCTCTCTCTCTCTCTGTCTCTCTCTCTCCCTCTCTCTCTCTCTCTCTGTCTGTCTGTCTCTTTCTCTGTCTCTTTCTCTGACTCTGGCTCTGTCTCTGTCTCTCTCTCTCTCTCTCTCTCTCCCTCCCTCTCTCTCTCTCTCTCTTTATCTCTGTCTCTCTCCCCCTCTCTCTCTCTCTCTCTCTCTCTCTCTCTCTCTCTCTCCCGCTCCCTCCCTGACTCTCTCTCTCTGCATTGCAGCGTCACGTCCCCCCTGAGTTGCCTCGATGTCCGGGCACTGCCCCTTCATGACCCTGAACTGTCATCTCACAACTGGCTTTCCCCTTGATTTCCCCTTCATGTTCTTTTCACGTTTTTCCATGATGTCCCAGTCATGTCCCTTCCATTCCTTTCAACTCCCCCTTCATGTCCCTGACATTTTCTCGGTATGTCCGCTTCATTTGCCATGTATGTCCCGTTCTTGCATTGCGAGTCGTTTCCCTACATCTCCCGTCGTGCCGATTTGTTTTCCTTTTCATTCCCCCTGCGCTCCCCTTGTTTTCATTTCAAGTTTCTGTCCCTTTCATGTCCCTTTCAGTTCCCCTTTGTTTCCCTTTCATTTCCCGTTGCTTTCCTGTCATGTCGACTTCCTATTTCCTCCCCTCATTTCCTTGCACTTCCTTGCATTTCCCCTTTGCTCCCCAGTATTCCCCGCAACAAAAACACGGTTTTTACAGCGTTTTCGCAAAGAGGACGACGTCCATAAACACGGAGTTGTTCAAGATTTTCGCAAAAGGAGGCAGGAAGCCCAAGCCAGCAAAAGAGCCGGCAGGGGGAATCGAGCCTGGGACCCCTCCCCAAAGTTTAGTGGAACTTCATCAAATTGCCGCGCGGTACGATCCCCCCTTAAAACCTACGTATCAGACGCCGGGCGGGGAGATTTTAAGGGGGGGTTATATCCTCTATCCTCAAGTGAGTATCCGACACGCCGAACAACGTCGGCGGACAACCCAACGCAGCTTTTCATCTCTCGCGGGCTGGCTCTATCAGAGGGAAGGGGTGTCTTCTGCGCAACTACTGACCCCCATGCTATGGCAATGTTTAAAAGCATTTTGTGACTCAACAGCATGTGGCGTGAGGCCACACCATTGCCGTGGACTGGTGGACGCTGGGAATTTTTATCTTTGAGCTTATGAGTGTCGCTGGCATGTTAGACGTGTTTAGCATGGCTTTGCAGTTAGATTGATGGATGTCGCGCGGAGTCAGGGAGAGAGAGAGAGAGACAGAGAGAGATAGCGAGAGAGGCACAAAGCAACCTTTCCGATTACAAAAGGTTCGGGCCTAGCGAGCGTTGCCAGGTGGCCACCCGCCCTTTGAGTCATCCTACCCCATGCAGTGGGATGCCCAGTCACCACCCAGTCCAAAGGCCAAGCAAGCATACTGCAAGTGCCTCGTGCAGCACGAGGGGCGCCTGTGTCGGGCTGTTTGTGTTCTCCGGAGGACATATCAGAAGATCATGCGAGGCATCAACAAGGCGAGTTCCGCCTTCCTTGTGCCAGTTGCCATTTGAGCCTGCAACCTGTCGCGCGCAGGTGGCTTTTCCTCCAAAGTGCAAAGGTCCTGCGGAGGACGACTTGTCGACCTGCGCAGTTGCAGACTTTAGCAGAAAGCAGTGCCTCCATGTTGTTTGTGTTCCGTTGGGCCTGGGAGGAGCTTATCAAGCACCTGTGCAGACCGGAGCCGTCTGACAGACTGCCCATGAAGAAAGGCGGCAGTAGGAACCTGAAGGCGTAACCAGGCAGCACTGTGCTCCGCGTTTGTGTGATGCCCCACCTATGGATCGTGGCAATCGGTTGCATCCACCGTTGTCCAGCAATGCATGAGCATCATCAGCTGATGCGCAGCCAAGGCATGCCTTCTACAGAACTTTCGACTGGAGTTCATTTGAAACTCTGAAGTGGGAGCCTCTGTTTGCCAGCTGTGCCCCGGCCCTTAGTGGTTTTTGCAAGTCGTTGTCCTTGTCGTCTTGGTTCTGTCCGTTTGCCGTTGAGATGGATTCTGCCAATCGCACCTCGCTTTTGCTCAGCTACCTGGCCTTTGGTGTAAGTCTGTTCGCCAAAGAGCTGCTCCGCGTTTTTCCCGCGATGACGCGGAAGAAGTCGGGGCCCAACCTGGGCAACTCCCTGAGCAACGACCAGCGCCGCCGCGCCGAGAAGCTCGGAGCAGCAGCCCGGGGTGTCGCGGAGGGCCAGGCACAGCGCTCCGTGCTGGAGCAGAGCTCCCTGGACGACTTCATCGCCAAGGCGGAGCGCCCTGGGCAGCACGCAAATATATAGACGCGCACGCATGGACCGCATGGATGGCAAAGCGAAGGGGTCGAGCCCGGAGTCGAAAGCCTAGGGCGCTAGGACGTACATTCGGGTCGGCGGTTTTTCAACAACATGCGTTCACACAAGTGTATAAACTGGGACATCGGTCGAAAGGTCTGGGCCTTCATAATGTCAATGTTTGTCATTTCTCAAACTGGTTCAGCTAAGATTGGGTGCTTGAGCACCGTTTAAAGGCAGGCCGCCCTTTTTCAACGTTCAACCAAAGTGCATTCCCTCCAGCAAAAGGAGAGCTTCAGCTGAAAAGTTCATTTGGGCGTGACGTTTGTTGACTCTTACTCAGACCACCTGCAAGGCAAGATGTTCGACCATCCGAGGCTGGCAAAGGCCAACTTCCAATCCACCCGGGGCGAGGCCGTGGAGTGTTCCACGGCCGCTTGGATTTTGGACATGTCTTCGCCCACTCGCAGCTAAACCAGAATCCCCAAAAGCATCAACCTGGAAGAATGTGGAAAGTGGAAGCTCCTTTGTGGATTCGTGGACAGCGCACCTTTTTTTTCCCCAACAGCTGAAAGCTTTGGGGTCTCAGCCCAGATAGGCTCCGGGGTCGTTCGGGGCGACCCTGAGCTAAGGTTCCACCAGGGTTCGCCAGGGTTCCACCAGGGTTCCACCAGGGTTCCACCGGTCCGGGGTGGTTTGCGAAGATTCCACCAGGGCTCCACCACGGTTCCACCAGGTTCTGCGAGGGCTGCGGGGTGGTCCGGGGTGGTTTCCAGGCACCAGGGTTCCACCAGGGTTCCACCAGGGTTCCACCAGGGTTCCACCAGGGTTCCACCAGAGTTCCACTAGCTGCAAGGGCTGTGGGGTGGTCCTGGCTGGTTTGAGGTGAGGTTCCATTAGGGTTCCATTAGGGTTCCACCAGGTTCTGCAAGGTAAGGTTCCAGGAAGGTTCCAGCAGCGTTCTTGCCGGGTTCCACGAGGTTCTGCGAGGGCTGCGGGGTGGTCCGGGGTGGTTTGAGGTAAGGTTCCAAGAGGGTTTCAGGGTTCCACGAGATTGTGCGAGGGGTGTGGGATGGTCCGGGGCGGCCCTGCGGTTTCACAGGGTTCCACAAGAGTCCTGCAAGGATTCCACAAGGGTTCCAAAAGGCTCCACAATGTTCCAGCAAGGGTTCCAGAAATTTTCTGCAAGGTTCCGTGGTTTGCCCTGGAGGGAAGCAGGGTGTCGTGCGCCCGTCGTCTGAAAAGTTATTGGATTAAGATCGCTTTGCTCATGGGCGGAACACTAAGCAAACCCGAAATCAATGGTTTTCAGCACACTTTCACTGTTTTGTCACTTGCTCACTTGCTCAGGCAACGCGGCCCGAAATGTTGGCCTTGTGGCAAATCAGATCACGTCGCTGCGAGACTCACGGTGCAGCAGAGTAAATGCTTGCCATTGCTGAGTATATTGCTTTGGGTTCCAAGAATTTCACGAGGCTGCGAGGGCTATGGGGTAAGTTCAAAAACGCTGCACGAGGTTTCCACCAGGTTCTGCAAAAGCTATGGGGTCCACAAGGACGGTTTGCGAGGTTCCTCGGGCCAGGTCGGGGCCCGATCGGGCCACGCCCCGATCGGGGCCCGACTCCGACGTCGGGCCTCGCTATAGATACAGTTGTAAGGCCGCATCCAGCTTTCATATGGGTGGCTGGGGTTGCACCACGCGACGATCGGGCCCCGATTGCACCGTCGGGCCCCGATCGGGCCCCGATTGCACCGTCGGGCCCCGATCGGGCGCCGATTGCGCCGTCGTGCCCCGATCAGGGCAAGATTGCGCTGTCACTCTTAGCTTTGCTTTATAAAGTTACAAGGCGGCATCCTCAGCAACATCGGTTGTAAAGTGGGTCCCCGGGACGTTGCGCGAGGATTCTGGGAGGGTGTGGTGCTTTTGGGGATATTGCCCGAGCATTGAAATCCCGTCCGAGCGCTGTGTTGAAGAGGCGGTGTGTCACGGAGGTCTGGGCCCTAGTGGTAGTGGGGCGAGGGGTGGGCACATCGCTTGGTTTTTTTCTCATCCGGTGAGGAACATGGGCGCCTGCTGAGGAAGTGATCTACAAAACTGGCTTTGATGCCGTAGAGAACAGAGAGAGGGAGGCTGCGGCCAAGAAGGTTGTCGTGCCAATCCCTTGGCGACCCTCTTGGAAGGAGGCGGGCCCTGATGAGAGTCTGAGAGACACTCACTGACACGCGTTTGGTTTGTCCAAAATTTTCCTGACCGAAGGCGTCCAATGCAGAGGAGTTGGCAGCCGCCGAGGGCCAGGCCTTCTTGACCTGGAGGCAGGGCCCACTCGACGTGAGCGGGACATGCCTCGGCTCGCAAAATCTTGCGACATCTCGCGACCTGAGCCCAGGCGGGGTTTGGCCAAGTTCGAGGAGGAGGACGGCCTCATCCTCACGCCCTACGAGCGGAATCTGGAGTTCTGGCGCCAGCTCTGGCGATGCGTCGAGCGCAGCGATGTCCTGGTCCAGATCCTGGATGCCCGCGATCCCGAGTTCTACCGGTGTAAGGACCTGGAAAGGTACATTGAGCAGTTTCCCGGCAAGCGCCACCTCCTCCTGCTCAATAAGGAGGGGTCAGACCGGCCAGGAAGGAACAAAAACAACAGGAAACTAAACCAGTGCTCGGCCCGGGCAATTTGCGCAGGCAGACTTCCTGACGGCCCGTCAACGTGAGCTTTGGGCCGCGCACCTCTCAGACCAGGGTGCCGAAGCCGTGTTCTTCTCTGCCCTCAATGAGCTCCAAAAGCAAAAGGCCTCTCCTTTGGAGGCAGATGGGGGAGCAGGTCCAGACGAGGTGGGCTTGGGAGTCAAGGAAAGTGACATTGAAATGAGGGTGCTCAAACAAGTCTGAAAACAGATACAGCCCTGAGGAGGATGCCGAAGATGGCGAGAGTGAAGGGAGCGACAACGAGGGCGAGAGCGAGGGCAGTGATGCGGGCGACGTGAGCACGAGGCCGCCGCCGCATGGTCCTTTGCAGGAGCTCAGCGGGGTTGCAGACTGCGCTGGGCTGCTTGAGACCCTGCAAGCTCGATGTCCAGATCGGAAGTGCGTGGTAGGCTTCGTTGGCTATCCCAACGTGGGCAAGAGCTCAGTGATCAATGCCCTCTTTGGAGCCAAGAAGGTGTCCATGAGCCGAACCCCAGGCAAGACCAAGCACTTGCAAACCCTGGAGCTCACGGACTCTGGCATCACTCTTTGTGACTGCCCCGGCCTGGTCTTCCCCTCCGTTGTGGCCACGCGCTCACATTTGGTCATCAACGGCACCGTGCCACTTGACGAGCTCAGAGACTTCGTTGACCCGGTGCGGATCATCGTGCAGAAGGTTGGCGCAGACACGATCTTGAAGAAGTATGGGGTCAGTGCTGCAGAGGTCAAGGACGGGGCCATCAGACGAGGGGTCGGTGAAGCTTCCGACGAGATGGCACATCAGGCACGGCAGTTAAGGCAAGCAAAGTAGCATCTCGGATTGACCGGCGAGCGTGGCCCATCACGGATCAGGGGAGTTGGTGTGCTTTCTCACCTCTCCTGGTTGCTTCAGTTTGTCTTGTGCAACCATGGCAAGTCCGCCTCCAATGCCACTTTTCACGCGTCAGAAACCGAGGTATTCCCTGATCCATTTTGAAGCCCTAGCAAGATCGCCAGGTGCTGTGTGGCCTGGCCACGCACCGCCAGCACTTCCTCCGGGTGGGTGTGCCTGACGAGACCTGGGCGGCCCGCCGGGTGCTCCGGGACTTCTGCACGGGCCAGCTGCTGCACTGTGAGCTGCCAGGAGGATTGCGGGCTGGGTCCAAGTGAACTCATGCGAATATGGTTAAATCTGGGGCCACTGATGTTTTGGGTCATTTTGAGAGTCTCAATGGACCAGGCTGGAGGGCTTCCGTCCTTGCCACACTGATCAGCATGTTGCAAGAGGTCTCAGTCTGGGCAAGAGAAACCAGCCCCTGCCAGTTGGAGTGGAAAGTGCTAAGTGAGCCGAAGGCTTTGCACTGCCGGGCATTTTGCAAGGGGTCATTTGAGTTGGGCAAGGTCGTGCCTTTCATAAGAGGACCATGTCTCGTAAACAATTGTGAGAGAAAAGGTTCAAGGTTGAAGCAGTGAATGACGACCCAAAGCAGCCTTTGAAGCTAGAGGCTGTTCTATCCAGTTGGATTTAGAACTCCCATCCAAAGAACATAGCCTTCATGCACGTCAACCTTGAGCTAGAAAACCATCGAGTAAGATTACCCTTCGCTTTGTGTTGGGCGAGGCCTCAGTAGAAATGATCCACACTGTTCTTGAGGCCGCAAGTGGGCTACATATGCATTCAGTACATGAATTTTCTCAGAGTAGCCTTCTCTTGGGATAAGTTCAATTTCATCTTGGCTGCCGCCATGTGTCTGCGCCTCAAATCGGAGAGTATTTCAGGCGGTTGGCCTCTTGTGTTTTGGTACAGCCGTTTGCCAATCCCCACTTGGTCCATGTAGTTTTGAGCAATTATTCTAAAGGCCGTGAGGGAGGTCTCAAGCTGTGATTCTGGACCCTGCCCTGCGTGCCACGCATGAGAGAACATGTCAATGTGTTTCTGGAGGTCAGCAGGAGGACGAGCAGGACGATGCTCCCAGTGTGGAGGCCGAGGAATCCGACTTCAGCGATTTGGACGAGTTCCTGAGCACCTCCGGCAGCGAGCGGAAGATGACCAAGCGCAAGATGCGGCAGCTGCAAAAGCACATGGCGAGCAGCTCAGTAGATCAGTGAGTCCCGTTGATTCTGGCTTTGGACTGATCCTGGTTTGTCCAGGCCAAGGGTGGTGTGACGGCAGCGCGGGCGTTGGAGAAGGAACGGGCCAACTACGTTGGCAAGAATATTCGAGGGAAGACGGTGCTGGGCTAATCTCTAAGACCCATGCTATCGTTTTGTCCTCGGTAGAAATGTTTCACCCGTTCCCGGGCGACTGTACAGACTGAGGGCTGCCAAGCAAGGCTGTCCGTACTCCAAGAGAGCGTCCGCTAACGGAACATGAGGAGCAAGAATATGGCTTGGCCTTAGTGAGTGATTTTGATCGCGTGAGTGTGAGTGGTTCACTGACAGTAGGGAGGGGTCAATTTTAGGTTGATTAGCGCAGTCCGGATTGTGAATGAGCATCTTTTTTCCTCGCTGACTCGAGCTGAGCCCAGGAAGCCAAGAATGCCAGCGAACCATTGCTTCAGCCTTTTCTACCGCTGAGGATGTCTCCGCCCTACCGGCCCTTAGTGCAAAGCAAGCGGGCGGGAGCCCAAGCGCCAATGAGAGGTCCAAATGGGGCAGGCAGGGCCCGGGGGCTGGACAGGACCTGTCCAACTTCGCTCAGTCCAAAGAGCTGCCGCCCATCCTCCCCTACGAGGTGGGGGCTCCCCGGTGCCACGACGAAGCTATGGGCTTCAGATGTTTGACAGGACGACGGGAGCAACTGGGACGGCGACTTCCCGACCTGCTCCTGATTCCAGGCGGAAACCCCCTCAGGCTGCAGGTGGACGTGGCGAACCGCACTAGCCGGCCTTTCGCCAGGCTCTTGGACCGGCTTCAGCCAGGAGCTTGCCGGCTGGGGCCCTGTATCGTGCCACGTATCCAGTGGCCTTCACATTTCTAGTGCCGTTTCACATCTATTCTTTTCTTCCCCGCCCCGCGTTTGCTGGGAGAGACCGTCAGCCACAAAAGCATCGACAGCAAACGCGCAGGGTTGGAGACGTTCAAAGCGAGTGCCAAGCTCTCTTATGGTGCGCAGCATCCGGGCAATTTTCGGGTCCACATATACAGGGCTCAGACAGTGAGCCCAGCGACCCGAGCTGAAGCAATGCAGACCTCGACTTGCAAAGCAAGCAAAACGGGTGCATGCGTACGGGTGCTCGGAGACTGATTGCCCTAGGCCCAGGCTTGTCAGATTCGATATTTGATGCTGCAGGCATTTTGATTTTCACGCAAGCAACTTGATCCAACTGCAAGCAACATTCCACAGCCCCAGCGCCAGCCAGAAAGTTCACCAAAACAAGCCGAGCGAGCGAGCACGGCGCGCGCCAAGTACGTCCAGCCCAGCCATGCCCCTGCGTGGGGCCCAGCAGGAGATTGACATGTTTGGCAGGCGCGGCTGGCCTCATTTGATCGGTTTTGAGCTGGGAAGCAGATCGTGGCCGGTTGTTCGACCGTCAGGGAATGGAACTGGAGCCCGGCCTTGATGCCGCTCATTGGAGACTTGGCTGCAAAGGGTAAGTCAGGCTCCGTGCAGGTTGGCGGCCAAATGGTCTAAATGACCGTGGGCATTCACCAAGCCTTGGAAAGGATGCGGTTAAGGACCCGCAACCACATCCCTTGTAAGGCAAGGGGGCAGTTTGTGTGTGCAGGGGTGGCGTTGATCCTCTTCAAGACGCTGGTCATCATTTGCGGGCTTCAGTTGCTCCGGTATGCTGTCATGGTGGAGCAGCGCCGGAGATTAAAGTCGCGCGGCAGCACTCAGGCTGATTCATGCTTTGGGTTTGCTGGCAGCATGGATCACGTGAATACTGATTTGCCACGCACGGTGTTGAAGCAGCACCAGACGCAGCCAAAACTCATCACAGCACAAATTTGTGCAGGCCAGAACGCAATTGCACAACAGGCCTTGATGCGTTCTTTCCCTCAGTCCTACCAGAAAAGTTATTTTGTAAAGCAATTTCCTCCTTTCTGCCAGGAACGCCACGAATCTTTAGTGGTATGAATGCCTGCAGAAACAAGTTTTTAGCAATGACATTGACAGCAACCTGTTTGCCAGGGGTCTGTGTCCAATACAAATGTCATCAAACCAGGTTGTGCGTGCACCTGTGAAGATGCCGGCTCAGGTTCAGACTAGCGGGCTTGTCCATGGCAATGGCCATCGGGCCCCTTGCGGAAGTCTCCGCGTATGCCTTTGCCCCGCAATCGCTTCTAGCGCCCCTTGACGGCTTTGACGTCATTTGGAACATTTTGCCCGGAGCCAAGCCACCAGTTCTCCGGTCGTCGGAGGTCAGTTGGTTGCGGACGGATGGCGGTTGGCTGCATCGCTGTGGGTCGAGGTTGGCGCCCTACACCCTGGGTGAAAGCATCAACTCCGCAAAGATCATGGGCACAGGCGGGCGAAAACTCGCTTCTCGGTGTTTCCAAAACAAGGGGGCCCTTCCAACTTTGTGGCTGCCCTAGCACCATCGAACCAATTTTGACCTTTTGGAACCTGGGAACCACGCGTTCCTTTTCCGCTAGGCCTCGTCTTTGCTGGTGCCGTGGCCGCCCCTAGCTTTGGGCCTTACGAGAAGCCACCAGCCAGCCGGCATGAATTGGATGAGGGCCTCGCCCTCGCGAACTTTGACAGAGCAAACTATCCATGTCTATCTTCCCTGCCCATGTGGCTTGATCTTCCCAAAGCGTTTGGCAGGGCCGCCTTGGATTCAAACATTTGTTGCTCAGTCGGTTTGATCCACTTTGGGACTTTGGGCGATCCCCTTCTGAGAACTTCTGGGGCTTTGCTCCGACTCAGCTCGCAGCCCTTTTGCAAGTGGAACGTGGAACGGGTTTTGTCTTGGAAATAGTTGAGAATGAGGATGAAAGCAGACGCTTAGATTCTTGTGCCGACTCTCAGGAGTCGATGAGCTCCCTGCGCGACAAATTTGTCAGCCGCAACTTCCTGGGGCTTCCTAGCAGCAGAGCGTAGACTTTGCAAAGGCACGCGCTTGCGAGGTGCGAGGCAATGCAAGGCAATAGCTCCCTTTTTCAATGCCCTCAACGCTTCCTGCATCCCAGGTGGGCGCTGGCAAGCAACTCAGGGTATCGCAGTCAGCACTTGCCAGCCTGTGAAAATGAGCTAGGCTAGGAGGTGGGACTGTGATTCGTGATTCCTAACTTAGCTTTGGGCGCGACCGAGTTTTGGGCACAACTCAAATGAGATGCCTCCAGATGCAAAACCCTTTGAACGACGAGAGCAGACCATGCATGTTGGTGGCCCATGGTCAAAGTTCCTTGGTTGGCACGGTGGTAGCCCCGAAGCACAGACTTTTTGACCAAAGCGAACCACCTTGACCCACAATTGGGGGAGAGCAGTAGCGTCTCGCGGCAAAATTGGGGGACCGTTTATGGCCGAGGTGTGCCTGGCGTTGGCAGTTTGCGCTTTTTTGGCACTGCCGCAGAAGCGGCAAAACGGTGGCCGCGCCCCGGTGGCGCGGGGCATGGTGCTGGCCATGGGCGGCGGCTTCGTAGCTGGGGGCTCGAGGGGGGAACCGCGCAACAGGGCGGATTTGTGAAAGGGGACCACAGCTTGCTCCTCGCCCCTTGAAGCATATTGGCGCAGGGCGGGGTTGGCCGTTATTTCGGCGAAATCAGGCCGGTCAGCGTTATTTTTTGTCGTCCACCGCCACTGTGGTGCACACATCCTTCGACGAGGCCATGCCTTGATTTGCGTGAAAGCCCAGACGCGTGCCCGCGTATCCGTGAGGGCAACTGGGAGATGTGGTCTGTTCCACTGCCCTACTTCATCATAGGGGGCAGCTCGGCGGGATTGAGTGTTCGGTCTGGATAGCTACTGGCAAATGCGAAGAGGTCTGCTGGTTGTTGCTCTATGCATGCCTTCCCGGCACTGGGGCACTGCTGGAAGCCTGCAGTCGGGTCAAAAGCCTAAACAGGCATGATCTTCTGCGCACTGACCAATGCCCTGCTTCTCAACAAGGGCCTGTCTGAGTTTGAGGCGATGTCACTTGGCTGGAGAATGCTTGAGCGGCAGGCAGGCAGTCGGGCAGTTGGGCCACTGCGACATGAGATTGAGCTTGCTGTTGCAAGTTGGCAAAGGTTCATGATCCCAACCTTCGTCGGCACCTGGCCTGCATTCTTTGGCTTGGAGCGAACACAAGAAACTGTGTGCCATTCAGATAGAAAGCCAAAGGCGTGTGCCAAGGAACCTCCATCGTCACAACTGCCGTCTCAGCCACTGTGATCCTCCATGAGACAGCGAGTCTTCCACCCTGGAGGCTTGCATTGCATTGCTGGCTCGTTCTCCCTGGCTCCATTCGACCAATTTCAAGGAACTCAAGTGGTTCTTTGATGTTTGACCCCCTTTGTGCTGGCCTTGCGACTATACCGGAGTCTCGCTCAGAATCCCTCAAGTTTCTGGGCTTGCGCTTATGTCCTGACAATCTTGTTTGCCTATGATTACCCTCCCAACGTTCACACATAAGGCAGGCGGAGTCTGGCAATGCCTTGAAAATAAGGCCTTCGCCACTACACAGGGATTCCCTCTTTGAGGCTACCCCCTAGATTATGGCAGCCTCCAGGTGCAAAGTGCCCATTGCCTTCTAAACTTTCCCGTTGCCGCAGGCTGCTTGGCTACTGGTTCGGCATTTCGCTGGTCGTCAGTGGCCTGGTCATCATTGCACGGGACTGCTTGCTGCTCTGGGGGGGGGTCTTGATGGCTTCTAGCCGCGGACCTTTCATTCCGTGCAGGATGCCCGACGGGAGCATCCTGACTGAACTCATTGGCCACGCTGACGCTCAAATGATGTTTCCTTTCTAGGCACGCGGCGTCAGCTTCATGCCAAGCTGAATGAGGCTCAGCAGCTGCAACGACGTCGGGGTTGAGCAATTGCCAGCGCAGCGCCCAGTGCGTGATGTGAGCTTTGGCCCTCGTTTCCACGTGGCTTTGCCTGAGGGCATCGCTGACATCCGGCCCCTCAACACTGAGCACCGTGCAGTTGTACCGGTGAACATCCAAGAGGTGGGGCTGAGTTATTGATGGGCACATTTTTGCTTCGTGGGATTTGCTTTTTGACTCACCTCTAAGGGAGCGCGCAGCTGATGACGCCCTCCATCCAGGGCTGACGACAGAGCCCGCGTCCGCGGTCAGCAATTGTGACTGTTCAAAGATTGGTTGTTATTGTTTTGTTCAGGTGTGGCGGAGGGCCTGCAAGAACAATCCATTTCTGTTGGCGAGTGAGTGAACCCCAAGTTGGAAATTCATGGGGTCCCTGTTGAGCGGCAATGTCTTCTCCAGGCTTTTAACATCATAGGAGCTGAGAGAATGCTTCAGACTTCAGGACGGTCCTGCAGGGCGAGCAGGAGCAACGGACCTGAACGAAGATGCCAGGTGCCTGAATTTTGTCTCACAAGGATTCTTCTGCTGTCAGGGCAGAGGCCCTAAACGGCTCAGTGGCGCGCAATTTGGAGCCCGAAAGGGTTGCTCGTGCAGACATTTTCCCGTCACCACCCAAAGCCTCACAGCATCAGCATGCAAACAGCAGCCGGCTCCAAGGTCCTTAACATCGTTTTCCAGTTGCCCTTTGTGAAGCAGAGGGCAGTCCGAACGGATGATTTTGTGGCACAGTTTCGGTCACAGCGGGTAGTCCCTGCCCAGCTGTCCCGGCAAATGCGCAGATCCTCGCAGGGCCAACGGGCCTGGTTTGAGGCCTAGCCTGAAGGCCGCAAGTAATGCCTGCCTGTTGTTCCCGCGGCTAAATGGCCCCTTGAAATGTATATAGAGGTAAGTCGCTGTCAGCCCTTTCCATCCTGGAGCATTTTTCAAGCCAGCAAATCTCAGAAAGGTCTGTGAGTCAGGACTCAGGGACGGATGCGCAATGAGCCTGTGCCACGCTAGGAAAAAGATGGCAAGTTTTTTCCCCCAGCAGGGTTGCAAGGATTTGCAAGGCAGTCTCCATGCAAAGTTCAAAGGGGCCAAACGCCAAAGGAAGCGCTACAGCGCAAGTGCATCGAGCTCTTTTGGCTTGTGCGAGCTGTGGAGTGCCAACCGGTTTCGCCCTCGGGATTCGCTATGCCTTTGCTCCGGGTCGCGGTGTTGGTGGTCCTCGCGGTGGCGGAGCCGGGCCTGCGCGGCGCAGAGCCGGAGTCGGAGTCTCGTTGCGTGGGGGCGAGCAAAAGCTGCGACCCCGTGGCAGACCGGTGCTGCCAGGGCCCAGGGCTGATGACGTGCCGCTTGCGGCCCAGCTCCGTGGAGGGGGATGAGGGCATGGCCTATGCCTGCGGCCAGGAGTTCCCCGAGGAGACGCTGCAGAAGTGCGCCGCCGAGGGCCAGGAGTGCGGTGCAGACGACAGCTGCTGCCAGATCGACCACACCCTGCGCCTCAGCTGCCAGCGCCGACCCAAGACCAAGCGCAAGGTCTGCACCGCCCGCGCCGACGTGCAGGCAGATCTCTGCATCCCCGAGGGCGAAAGCTGCAACCCATTGGGCAACTCTTGCTGCCAGGAAGGGCTGAAGGGTGCACGCCTCAGCGCTGAGTTGCACTTCCCACGTGCATTGCACTGCGAGAGAGGAGAGGAGTTTAGGGATATCCCGTTTAATTACAGAGCTAACAAAAGAATGCTGCACTGAAGCATCGATCCAATGGTGAACTGCCAGTAATCACCTGTCTATCTCTCGCCTACAAGGCCACCCTCAAACACCTAGAGAATTATGAGCGAGGGTGTGGAGACGAGCCATTCATACCCTTCCCCCAGCCAATTGTCTTGAACAAAAAGTCCAAGTTATAGATGTGGCGTTCCTTGTCCACTCACTTACCCATTCATGGATCTTAAGAAGTTGCTTTGTGTGCGAGTCCAGAGATGGCTGCCATCGCTTTCCACTGTGGGACGTACCTTTCCCTTCTCTTAGGTTGTAGCCGGCGGAATTGACCATGGCCCTCAAAGCGCCCACCTGTTTTTTGCGCTGAGGCGAGAAGGGTCTTCGAACTTGCCAGTTAAAGAACCTGGACAAGCCGGGAACCCATGGTATGGCATATTTATGCTCCCCAGAGAAAGCCTAAGACAGGCCAAGCGATGCGGGAATGAAAGGGCACCATGAAGCTCAGAAGAAACGCTGCGCAGCAACGCTTCGGCGAATTCCCACCATGTTGTTTGCACACGTTGCTTCACTGTTCTCCTCATGCCCGCCTTGCAGAGGGGCATGCAGACAACATACCAGCATGCAGTCGCGTGCCCAGAAGGCAATGACCACAGCATTGCATTCATGTGGTTCTCGCGACCTCTTTTCCAGAATTGGTATCGGCTTTGTGCACTGCTACGTGCTATGTTGCTTGTACCATCTTGTACCGTACACTTGCATGTAGTCTTCAATGGCAGCTGTTGTTCCGGAGGGGTAAAGAAGCACTGGTCGATGCAGCCTGCTCAATGCATAGGAGGCAATAGTCCTTCTGCTGAGTTGCACCTCTTGAGGCTGTGGGCTCACCCACGGCCAGTTTAATGCATCCAGCTGCTTAATGCATTCAACAGGTTCACAGGCACAGACTAGGCGGTTGGGCTGGGCATTGGCCCCGAAGCTCCTGCAGCGTTCTTGGTGCAACCTGTTCAGCTTTGCGCACATGCTTCCTTATTCCTCTTTGTTTGAGGTTACTCGGTTTTGGGGCTTGGCAAGCCCAAATGATGAGGCCATGCAAACGCACCTTTAAGTTAGAGGCCTTTTCGGGGGTGGCCAGCCCAAGCTTCGCCGAGTCGCCGCACCCAGGGGCCACGAGCTGTCCCGCATTTTTTCCCTGCGACAGAAGGGCGGGACTCCTTCAAAGCCGGGGCACCTAACTAGCGGTTCCCGTGGTGAAGCCTTCTGCTGCCGCGGTTTTGGTCCGCCTCGGGAACTGACCGCTTGCAGCCCCACCGCCCCGCTCAGGGAAATGGACGCACTGTGACCCGAAAAAGGCCGCTTTCCAAAGAGCCAGGTCTGTGTGTCACAATGTCGGCTTGGCAGCTTCTGTATCGAGCGGCCTCCTTATTAAACGTAGAATTAGTTTGGAAGGCTCCCCCTCTTGGCTGGGTCATAACCCAACGAGTGGGTTCACCATTGACCTCCGTTTTTGGATTGGCGGGTGATGATTCCGTGTACCTTGCCATTTGGCGCGTGATATGTTCGTTTGGCTCCAGAATTGTTTTTCTGTATGGTGGATTTGGTGATGCCAGTGCTTGCCAAAGAGTTTCCTGCAGGCTAAACACCAGCCGCACGCAGATGTCCTTGGCACGTTGATCCTTCAGCCAATGTGCAGTCCCAGCCTCGAGCAGTGCAGCACAAAACTCGCATCCCCGCGCAATGGACTCCACTCGCGCAATTATAGCCCTTTGGCGCCTGTGTGTGCCTGCTGCGCGGTCCAAGGTGGCTGTGCTTTCTGTCTGGAGCTTGCGGCTACCATGTTGCACCCGCCGAGTAGTTATACCCTGGAAATTGACAATCCTACGGTGGGACTCGGTCTGGCTCGGTGCTTTGGTCGACCATGCCTCAGAGTGGCTTTCAGATTGGTGGCTGGTGGCTTCCAATTCCTTGCCTTGAAGTCTCTCGCGGTTTCGACTGAGCTCGTTTTTGCGGCAGGTTGGCGGAGACGGTGCGATCCACGTGAACGTGCTGAAGGTGGATCTTGCCAGCGCGCTTGCTTGCAAGCTTCGGCTCCACCGGGACTCGGGAGGTTCAAATTTGGGCTGGCCGGGTCCATCAACTGTCATCAACTCGTTTTCTCGGGCCACTTGGGGGAGGGGCTCTGAGAGAAACCTCACAGGAGGGCTTGAGTCAAACGACAGACCTGGCCGATCTTATCAATCGCGCGGAAGATGGCTGTCGCAACAATTAGACTTAGCCTGGGACAGATCCAGGTTTGTCCTCGTGATTTCGAGAAGGCATAGACTGTTCTCCAAAAGCCCTGGTGTGTCCACGCACATTCATCCCAAAGAAAGCCACCAGTGTCAAGGCTCACTATTTTTCCAAAAGCACCGGTGGATGGTGAGTTTGATATAGGGGTCCAATGCCAACCTTGCATCCGCCGGTCGATAGGTGGTGCTGGAGCGAGAGCTCGAGGGGCACTTGGGGGATTTCGGCCACAACTCGGCTGATGAGATCCTGCCTGGGTCGCAGATGGGCGATGGAAGGGCGAAGGAATGCGTGTGGGGTCACGCAATCATGACGTAATCAACGCGTCAACTGGTGGGCAGTTTTTTTCAGGTGTTTCCCATGCAGGTGACACGGTGCGGTTATGAAACCCTGTTTCTCACGGTTAGTTTAGCATCCTAAGGGGAAGTGCCTCGATCGGGGACATGGCTGACAGTGCTGAATGGTGGGAGGTTCCTATGATGGGCGCTTGGCCAAGTCCCGTCTTTTAGCAAGCAGGGGTCCTTCAACCTACCTCAAAATGTGTATACCACCCTAGGGTTTTCAGCACATTTTAAAAGCGCCCCTCAAATCTAACATAAAAGTTCATACATAAATTCTTGAAATTCCTATCCGCTCACCAAATGCTTTGAGTTATCCATTTTGATGAATAACTTAAACCATTTCAAACATCTTTAACCTCATTCTTTTCTATATTTTCTTTGTGCCTGTAAGTCCGTTCGTGCTTTGGTTTATGTGTTTTTTTGACATCGCAATTACATATATCGCAATGATATATGACTTGTTGTTTCCTTCTGCTCTTTTCACGACACTTATCACACATTTTATAATTTTCCGTGAATAAATCCACATTCTTATCTCTTTGACAACCCGAACAATATTTCTTCTCCATAACCTCTATTATACTATACCAACAACCCTTTAAACCCTTTTTACTCAGATAGGTTGAAGGTCCCTTATTCAAAAACCCCCAACAACAAAGAAACATAACCAAAAACCAAACAAGGAACAGAACACAGAACATTCCACACCAAAGTCATAACAGCATCAACATTCATCACCTCATCCATTCCACACAAAATCATAACAACATCAACACTCCTCACCTCATCCATTCCACATAAAACAGCACAACCAATAACCTTACCAAAAACTCTAACAAACAAACAAACTACAAATAACATACAAAGCAACCTAACAATGAAACTAAAACAAACCAACCCCTTAACTTTCTGGGAAACCCGTCGCCCCGCATCGCCACGACCTCTACGTCATCAACCTCACAAGGCGCGCCCTAGTTGTCAGCACATTTTCAAGATTGCCCGCTGGGTTTTATTCTGTCCCCCGATGGGTTTTATTCTGTCCCCCGATAGGTTTTATTCTGTCCCCCGATAGGTTTTATTCTGTCCCCCGATAGGTTTTATTCTGTCCCCCGATGGGTTTCATTCTGCCCCCCCCCCCCCCCCATTAAGTTTTGGGTTTGCAAACATCCGCCTCGGCGCAGGTTGATGACGAGCCCTACACGTCCGGAGCCTTTGGGAGGGGGTCTGGGGGTCTGGGTTTTGCGTAGGAGGGCTGAGGGTTTTGTAGGAGGGTTGTAGGTGTTCTTGGATTTTTACTGTGTTGTCGTTGGATGAACCTAGAAATTTCAAGTTTGAGCTCCAACCCCAACTCAAAATCCTTAATCCGTCAAACTCATCAAAATGTCCATTATTAAATCACTAGGTATTCTATATAGGTCGTCCTGTTTATGTTTTACATAATCCTCGCCCCAAATTTCCTTGTTTCCATTTGGTAGTCGTTGTGCTGTTTCAATATGTTTATTATTCCTGATTTTTCCACAGTCCTTTTTACATAAATCTCTAGGTTTCCAATTAGTAATGTTATTCCACAGTCTAGTTCGTTTCCTGTAATTAAATCCATATTTACAATAATCAACATCCTTAAACTTAAACTCATTCATAAATTCCTGATTTTTTAACAACCCGGTTTGTGGATTTTCAATGGGTGCTAATTTATTTAAGGAATTTTTCTCCCGCTGGTTTGGGATTTTTTTTCCACTAAGCAAGCAAGCAAGCAAGCAAGCAAGCAAGCAAGCAAGCAAGCAAGCAAGCAAGCAAGCCATGAAGGAAGCAAGCAAGCAAGCCATGAAGGAAGCAAGCCAGCAAGCCAGCCAGCCAGCCAGCCAGCCAGCCAGCCAGCCAGCCAGCAAGCAAGCAAGCAAGCAAGCAAGCAAGCAAGCAAGCAAGCAAGCCATGAAGGAAGCAAGCAAGCAAACAAACAAGCACGCAGGCAGGCAAGCAAGCAAACAAACTCAAACGCATCATGAAGAACCTCGAGATTCCGAGCTTTCCGGCTTGAAGCTTCTTGCCTACAAACCCTCGATTCAATCTCGCGTCAGCCATGGCCTCTGCCCCTGTGTTTGCCTCCGCCCTGGACTTGCCCTTCCCTGGCACGGACTGGCTCGGTGTCACGCCCGCTCGTGCCATGGCGTCTCTTTGCTTTGTGGACTTACGCCTGTTCTGCGGCGCGGACTGGGCTGGCGTCCAGCGCGGCATCGCCTTCGCTTCTTTGCTTGTGTTTGGCTTCGGTTGCCCCGCCCTGGACTTCCAACTCCTTCCCTTTGTGGACTGGCGTGGAATTTTGTTCGCTTTCGGGCAGTTTTGGTGCTTGCTCCACGGGCGCAAGGGCCCGAGCTTTGGCTGGCCAGGGTCTGTGCGTGCGGGCTGTGCTTCTGCGTTTTGCCTCCGTGTTGGCCGCCGTCGGCACCAGCGCAAGCGCCGCTGCGCGCTCCACCTGCACTCGAGTCTGTCCTTGTGCTCTGTCTGCGTGACTATGGCCTCCTGCGCGCCCGGCGCTGCTGGGTTTTGTCTTCTCTCCCATGCTGTAGCTGCTTGTGGTGCCTTGGAAGTCTTTACAGCGTTGTGGCTGGTTTGGCGCTGCCTGCCAACCTTGTCGGCCCTTGACTTTCCCATGGCTTTCTCTCGGGCTCAGCGTTCCAACCTGTGTCTTCGCCCTCCTGCTTCATTTGTTTCAGAGGCTCTTCACAGGGCTGCTATGCGCGTTGTGGACAATGATGGTGAAGGAGAATGCTGGTGGCTCGCTGGCCAGAGATGGCACCACATGAGCCCAGAAAACGGGCGTCGTCGTTGCGCCGATTGGGCCGCCGCACAAGGAATGGATTCTGTCGCCGCAGCGTTCCGGCGTCCAGGCAGTGAGGCGAACCCTACTGACGCCTTGCAAATTCAAGTGGCCGTGAACGTCTTATCTGACTGCTGTCCTTGCGGGCTTCTGGTTTTTGACGCCGGCAAAGAGAGCGCTTTTTGGTTTCGCCCAGGGCTTCCATGCCACATCTTGGATTTGCTTGCTGCCTGCCACGCCCACGCAAGTCACCCCGCCATCCGCTGCATGTTGTTCACCTCGCCGCAAGGCGGAAGCAAACCCGGCCATTTCATGGATTGCGTGCCGGACGCACGGCTGCAAAGAGGCCTTCCACGCTTCCGTTTTGAGCCGGGATTGGGAGGAGAGGCGTGCCTGCATCTTACATGCCCGCTCTCTGGAGGTATGCGGCGCGCAACTCAGCAGGAAAAGCTTCAGAATCTTCTTGATATGGGCATCCCTCAAGAACTAGCTAGCCGCGCGCTGCAGCGAACAGTTGACCTCAACGCAGCTGCAGAGTGGGCGTTGGATCTCATGACAACGCCAAACCCGCACCCTCGCCAACGAAAGCGAGGTGCAGAAGAGGTTGTGGAAGTACCAGATAGTCCGCCAAGCCCAAGATCTTTGTTTGCCGCGCCACCGACCCTGCATGGTCTTGGCCCTGGTGCGCAGATCTCAGGCGCTGCTGCTGCCGCGCCTCGCGCGAATCCATTTCAGCCTTCTGTGTTGCTTCGGTCAAGTGGCTTTGCTTCTGCCTTGCAAGCCGCTGGCCCTGTCAACCTTCCTCCGCCGCCGCCTTCTCCGTCGCTCTTGTCACTCGCTGCGTCGCCCGTCATCCCTGTCGCCCTGTCTACTTCGCCGTTGCACGCTTGCCACGAGCCTAGACCAGCCACTCCAGGCGACATAGTCGCTCGTGTGCCCATGCAAGGCTGCCCAAGAACCGTCCGCCAAGATTTCGCCCAAAACCCTGGGGCGGAGTTGGACTACTGGACCGACTTCCTTGCAACGCGCCCGCAGGACATGTCTGCTTGGCTTGCGCTTCCGCTGTACAGCCAGTATGTTGGCACCAGCTCCCTGAGTGACATTGCCGAAGAGTGCTTGCGCGGCTTGAAGGCAAAGCAAACAGAGCGTCTGCTAGCTGAGCAGGCAGCAGACTTGCCCGTAGAGCTGGCTAAGTGTGCGTTTTTCCCGGTGGCTGTGATGGCGCAGTTCGCTGCGAAGAAGTCCGGAAAGCCAGCTCTCTTTGTGGTGGATTTCTTCTTGGCTTGTCTCGCAAGCTGCTTGCACCAAGACTTTGTTGTGCTGCCCTACCCGGAGGGAGATCCCACGTTCACAGTACGCCCTAGATTTTGGTCGTGCCCTGTGGGTGATCCAGCAGCCGGCAAAAGCCCAACCTTTTCGTGGCTGAAGGGCCTGTTCGATGCCTTCCAAAAACAATGCCCAGAGCACTTCCCTTGGCAGTCCTGTGGTGTGTCACATGTCTACCAGCGTGGGAGTCACGCAGGCCTGAACGAGGTCTTCCGCCGCACACGTGGCGTTGCGCTCATCGCAACTCCTGAGGCCCGTGGCAACCTCGACCCTAGCTTCCCTGCCAAGCTGCAATGCGACACGAAAGCGTTCCTGAATTTGCTGTACCTGCTCGAGACAGCGACAGGAGGAAGCTATGAGTGGGTGACAGCGCAGGACTTGAAGCAGCATCGGCAAGCCAAGAAGCGCGGCGCAGAAGCTGTGCCAGTGACGGGTGGAACCCCCGGCTCGGATGAGCTACTCACGTTTGATAGCACTTCGGTCAACATGTGCCTTTTCCAGCAAGCCTCCATTGTCCGCAGCTGGTGGGCGCAAGTGGAGAGGCATCACGACCTCGGCTTTTGCAGCCGGTTTTTGTTCTCCTTTTGCAAGCGAGCCTCCTTGCAACTGCCCGCGCGTGTGCCAGCGTCAGAGCGAGCTCCTGGTCTTCGTGCGCCCTTGACTTGCGCAGCCGAACTGTGTCTACAACTGTGGCGCGGGGTCTGTCAAGCCCACGGCCACGCGCAGACCTCAACTCCTCGGCCTTTGCTCTTCTGTCGATCGCAAG